ACCCACACACATACAGAGAGAGAGAGGGGCGCTGGCTGAGCGAGCTGCTGCTGGCACGCGATCCAGTCCTCCGTCAATCTGCAGCGTCTCTGACAGACGGCTGGCGTGAGTCCAAGCCCTTGCGTGCAAACTGAGGAAGCCACATTAGCCTATAAAGACTTTCAGAAGAACAACAGCTGTTAAATATTGATGACTGCTGGCAGGCCATGAATGCTCGCCGCAGAAGGTTAAGCTCTGATGTTATGGAGCCTAGCAGTTCATTATATGAGCTATTGTGTCCGCAGCTCCTCTCTCAGTATGTACTGCTGGTAACGAGGCATTATTAATTCGCACTGTTCTCGTCCTCTGCTTGGGGCAGTTAAACTGTCTCTGTCTAGAATGTCGATACTGAGAGTCATTAATAATCCTCACATTTCTAGCAGAAAACAAACGTTTAAATTAATCAAGTAAAAGATTAAATATAGTAATGAACCGGTTTGCGTCTGATCTCAGGTTTAGAACAAGCCCATTTAAACACATGATATCTGATCTACAGACACACAGGACCAGCATTTATGTGACAGCAGGAGCATAAAACAATATGTGAGTATAACTCAAGCTTTACATGAAAATAACGGCCAGAACCCAGAATTACCCATAATATTTCAGCATATTTTAGCTCTGTGCATGCACTAATCTGCTGATATTTGATTGGATTATTTCTCGTCCAGCACTGGACCAGCAGATCCATACAGAGACACTTCCAGAAAAATATTCATCTATTTAGATGGATTATTTAGAGATCTGAAACACAAATCATATGAACCCAGATGTGTTTGTGTGTTAGAAGAGCTACTGCATTTACACAAGCGTACTACATGTTTGGAGCACTTGTGTTGATGTTTATTGTCATGTTTACTCTCTCTCTCTCTCTCTCTCTGCTAAAATTTGACTGAAATCTCCTTCAGTTTCGTTCATATCTGGCTTTATTAAGTCATCCCACATGCAAACTCTCTGGAATGTTGAACTAGTTTTGGGGAAGGGTTATTTTTGTCTCTAATCTAGAAGGCAGCAGCTTGAGTTTATGAGTTAAAGAGACAGTCTCAATATTATTCTCATCCATCCTTGCAGATCATCGAGGATCATAATTAGCAAAAGCCACGCGAGTATCTATTCTGCCACAATAACAGACGTCAAGCCCATCCGAACAGCTGTCTAACCCTGATTAACGTTAGAGAAAACAAGAAAAGATTGTCAGATTTGTTTTGAAATACCTACAACCCAGGCGTATGTGTGAGATTGTGCTAACAGGAGAAATGGATATGTTTTGGATGCTGTCCAGTGGGTCAAAGTCACCCAACACCAAAAACAGCCATCATGAATTAGCCATACTGATACGGATCAGTGACATCACTTGATCCCGGCAAATGAGTGATATTCCAGCCACCCGCGCTAGATTAATTACTGCATCAACAGCCACCATTCATCTGTTCACAGCATATTCATTTAATGGTTAATGTCACCAAACCCAAGCTCACTGCATCTCCTGTCTCTCATTTACACTCTTCACACGGTAAAAACACACCAGACTGATGTAGAATGACATGTCGATTATGTAGTGATCATAATTCCAACATGACAATCATCCGATCATATGAGGATCTTCTGTTTACACGACAGTTTCTCTTCGTTTCTTTGGGGCATCAAAACAAAAGCTTCACCAAAAAGTAAAGAAGCTTTATCAGTATCACTGTGTGCAGATGCACATGAGACACGAGTCTTTAAGTCAAAGAAATATTGAATCTGGAGTGCCACACAGGACTGACGTGTTTATCTCACAGTGTTCATTACTGGCGTGTGCTCTACTTATCTGCGGCCCCACAAACACCACAAACAATTATCGCTGCCACACAATGAATTTATTATGGTTTCCTGAGTAAATAAACAGCATGCAGTGGGCTGCTAGCGGTTCGTCAGGTCTGGATCGACGTCACAGCTTCTATTCAGCCTCAATGTGTTTAGATTCACACGAGCGTCCAGCAGGAAAGCAGAAGTCTGCATCACGTTTATTTCTCATTGGTGATTCTGTGTTGGTTCCAGCACAGCACAGACCGGTGAACACAACCCTGTTGAATAATCAGCATATGCTGGTTAGGTCTGTTTTGAAGCATGGCTGCTGGTTTGAGCTGGTCATGTGCTGGTCCTAAGCAGCTAGCTCCTGCTCATAACCAGCTTAAACCAGCTCAAACCAGCAGCCAACAGGGAAGGTCTCAAAGTCTGATTTACAATGGCTGTCTGCTTGAAAATTCATTCAAAAAAAGGCAAACACTCTAATATTTTGTTGAACTGTTTTTAGCTTTGATTACAATGTGAATCCATTGTTGCATTGCTTCCAAAACCTTATGCAACATCACAACATCGAACAACTCCAGCACATCCCAAAGACTTTCAATGGAGTTAAAGTCAGGACTGATTCCCTGAACAACTCTTTGACCATTGAACCCGATGAATCCTGGAATATGGCAAAGGGATTGGTCTTCATACATGCTTGTTTAAGAAATGAACAGCTGCACGTGCATCGAAAATGCTTACAAGTATTGTTTTCAAACATATAACATGCCACAAACATATTAAGCACTGCGATCATGATCTAATCCCAGATTATTTAGTATCCGCTTATTAAAATCCAAACAGCATGATTTTTGGCCAGCAGTGTATTGCAGGTGAATCACAGTGTTGTAATGGCACGCAAAACTCAACCCCGTCGCCCTCTGAGCAGCTGCACATCAACGGCACAACAGCTTTTCCACCGTTTTCCCATCAGCAGCAGTTTGATTTATGACTCCAGTGCAAGAATTTCTCTCAAATATCTCCAGCATGTTCTGAAGTTTTCTGTTCACAGACGGACTGATCCTGTTGCGAGTGGCTTTGTTTTCTCTTTCTACTAGAAACTGGACTGTAACGACAACCAGCACATTAATTATTAGTCAAATTAATATTCTCACGTAAACAAGAGCGGATCTGTTGTCTGGTCTCACTTCAGACAGAACGCAACACACTCGAGTTACATTTAAAAGTGTTTCTGATGTACAAAATGAAATGATATCAAATACGAGGAGAAGGCCTGAAGCGTCTGACAGCCGGTCTGTGCGCGGAGGGAAGACTCCTGGAGCAGCGGGTAAATCCCAGTCCTGGACCGGTTCCCAGGCGTTGCGTGCAGGAGCTGCTGCTGCCCATCGACATGCAATCATGTCCAATAGAAGCCGCAAACCCCTTGACTTCTACAGCACAGCTGGAGGATCAGATGTTTACACTGAAGACAGAAGCTGAGCTCAGAGAGCCTGTGAGACGTCAGAGCCGTGAACAGATGCACTGATCTCAGTGACCAGCACACAACACCCACAGCGTCTCGTTGATTAGAACACGAACAAACGCTGATCCACTTTCACATTTGGTTTTGCACAGACCGTCTGTGATTCAGTGCCGGGTTGGGATTAGATGCTGTTTAGCATCAGGGTTCATGTTTGGCATCTCATGAGCAATAGTACCACTGGGCAACATATTTATTTACATGTACAGTATATGTCAGTTCCATCATATTTATTAAACTGCCTGTAAACAGTCAATGCATGTAGATAATAAATGTACATGCGTTATTTTTGTCTGTGCTTTGTTTTTTTTTCTATACATTTTCTATTTACTTTATAGATAAATATTTTGATATATAATATTGTATTTCTGTGTACTAAAGCTTCTGTCACCAAGACAAATTCTTCATGTGTGTGAACAGACTTGGCAATAAAAGCTCATTGTGATTCTGGTTTGTCTTCAGTCCGTCGACTGCGATGAGAAGCGGCTGGGAAAACAGCAGTGTAAGAACAGCCTGTTTTTTCCTTTACCTGTCATCTTTGTCACACTGATGTGTGTAATTAATTATCGATTTAACTAAAACTCCCAAACTTTGACTGAAACTGTTTTCATCTCCCTGAACTCCTCAGATCGGTGTTGTGCACTTTCCAGATGCTGGAGAGCAGAGATCTGCAGCACGAACTCTAAATACACTGAATTTATAAACTGTGGCTGAGGAATGAGCTGAAACATGTGGCCTCTACGCAAAACAAACCGTGGCACGCAACCCTCCGCCAACACACCATTACTTCACAGTGCTCTCCTGCTTCTGGACCCAGAGCTTTAATTCAGCGCAGTCCAATAAATCACTCACACGCTTCAAGACGTTCAACCAAAATCCATTTCTCATTCAAAGTTTTATTTCAGGTCCTCAGCAGATTCTACATCTAATATGTTCATGTTAGTCTTTTACTAACCTCTAATACAATAGAAGTATTTGGGTGAGCGTTTGCATTCATGTAAATCAATGAGACCACAAACCCTGTAAAACATAATAACTAGATGAAAACATCCCAA